CTGCCAGACGGCCTCAAAGGCGCAATCTAGGCGACGGTTATCAGTCAGCTGCCCTACACTCCAAAGCTCGACCACAAACACATACACATTGACATAGTCCTGGACGCAGCACCCAAGCGCGGACCTGGCTTGTTCAAAATCAACAACTCACTTTTGGAGACGCAAATCATGAAGGACACCATTCTCCACGCCTGTGAAGCACACGGTACGAGATCCACCACTTTCCCGCAACTGGTGGGCAGCCTTTCTAACACCACAGCCAAGGCATCCTGAATCCTGGCGGCCAGAATGACAGCAAAGAAAGAGAGCTCCAACCGGTGCTGCACGTGGCAGAGCAAAACATGCTGGCTAACCCAGGAGATACACAAATGGAGGACGCCTTGTACGCAGCCAAGCAACAGTTGGCAGACTGGATGAAGTGGAAAGAGATGGGCATTCGACTGCGAGCTAGAGTAAAAGAATTGGACGAGGGGGAAAAAATGACCAAGTTTATCGTTCAAAAAATAAAAACCAACTACCGAAATAAACTGATTGACCTACTGAGTACTCCGGAAGGGCCCACCTCCGGTCTGCAACAAATGCTGCAGATCACCGCTGACTTCTACAGAGAGCTTCACACCACAAAGGAAGATCTTGTACAACCACAACAAACGCAGGCAGCTCGGCAAAAGTTTTTGACACATATGGACAGGACCGTATCGCAACAACAGAGTGAAGATTTGGACAAACCAATCACGTAGGCCAAGGTAAGAGAGGCCCTATACTCGCTGCAACCGAACAAAACACCTGGCCGGCACGGATTGTCCAAAGAGTTCTAGCAGACCTTCTGGCCGATCTTTGAGAACGAATACATATAGTTTTTGCGTAAGGCTGAACAAGACGAGGGCTTGGGCAAGTACATCAGCACAAGCATGGTCACCCTTCTGTACAAAAAGGGTGACCCGGCGACATCAGAAATAACAGACCGATAATGCTCCTTACCGTCGTCTACAAGGTGCTCGCCAAGTTACTGGCCAACTGCCTCAGCAAGATGACCAACATCTGCTTCCACATTGATCGAACAGGCTTCATTCTGGGGCGCTTCATCCTCCACAACGTTATGTCCCTGTCAGAATCCGCTCGCTACATCACGAACAAGAGACTGAACACGGCCATCCTCTTCTTCGACTTCGAGAAAGCCTACGACCAGGTCAATTGGAACTTCCAACGGCACTGTATGGAGAAAATGGGTGTGGGCCCCAACTTCCGGAGATGGGTGCGAGTCCTCTACAACCATGCCCACAGCCAGGTGCAAATTAATGGTTTCCTTTCGCCGCTGTACAGGATGTCCCAATCAGTCAGACAAGGAGACCTGCTGGCGGCCCCGCTTTTTCTGTTCACAATGGAAGCAGTGGCATCCTTCCTGCAGAAGGACCCGTCGTTAGACAGATTGATAGCTGAGCCAGCCCCCCCCGGGCATGCGGTCCACCTTCTCACTACACTCTTCTTTGCAGACGACCTCACAACAATGATAAGAGCCTCCAACTCCTCGTTTCAGGCACTCACGAAAGCCATGCAAGCCTTCAAGCCGGCTTCGGAGATGAAGGTCAACTGGCTGAAGACCATGGGGTGGTGGTTATCGGACACACCGCACCCCCCAGCAGATGACACGCCAGAGGGTTTCGCATGGCAGGACCTGAAAACTTTGCTTCCCTATCTGAGGATAAAACTCACTGACGCAGGTCCTGACCATGCGATGGCCCCGGAGATTCTTACCAAGATGTTGTGGAAACTGGAACCATGGTCCAACATCTACACGTCCGTCTTTGGTTGAACCCTGGTACTCAATGCTTTCGTCTTCTCTATGATCTGGTATGCTGCTTCCATCTGGACTCCAACAACGCACACGGATGGCACCCTCAAGAAACGGGCAACGGCCTACTTGTGGACAGGTAACCCCTCGAGAACAAACTACATAGCAAAAGTGGCATGGTCTCACCTCATCCAACCCAAGGCCAGAGGAGGACTGGGCCTATTGGACCCCGCCATGCAAATGAAGGCCCTGCAGACCAAGTGGGTGGTTAAGCTGCTCACCCAAGCTGACTTGCCTTGGGTCACCCTGGCCCTGTACCGCATCAGGCAACTACCGGTGGCCAGCACACCCTCGAACATGCAAGGACTGTTCTGGCTGATGGCCAAATCTTGGTCGGCTTGCCACGGGACCCCGAGACAACAGGGACCCCTTCAACAGGAACATCAACAGCAACAAGAACAGAGGAACAACCAAGACTACTGGATGTACCTCATCAAGGCATGGAGGGAGATCTTCCCGGCCAAGGTCCGAAAACCAGCAAATAGAGAAGAGGTATTATGTCAGCCCCTGTTTTGCAATCACTGGATAAAGGACCAGACAGGCAAACCATGGACACTCATGACACAGGACACCCGGTGGATCACCTGGTTGGAACATGGGGTGTGGCAGATCAAACATCTCTGGAACCACCAATACAACAGATGAAAAACACTCACAAAACTCAGAGAGACGCTCAAGGGGTGCCACGCCTTGCAGGCAAATCTCAACGACATGCTGGCATCAGTTCCGCCGGAATGGCTACAGCCGCTCCAAAGACCGGCTGAATGGAAGAAGGGGGACTGGGCGACCTGGACCTGGGAAGACCCTCCGACAGAGGTGATGTCCTTCATCAGAAAGGAAGGCCCCTCAGACCAGTAGGCACTGTGGACCATGCACGACATCCAACAACCAGGCCATACAGTGAGCACGGTCTCCCAAGTCGTCCGCGCCAAGGTCTCGGCCAAACCACATTTACTCAAAAAAGTGTGAGTAGTCGAGGACGAACAATACGGAATCTACGCCCCAACAACGACCATACAAGACCTGGAGTTCGACCCAGCAGAATGGGCCTGGAAAATGTCTTCCAGCACTTCAAAGGTGGCTCGCCGTACCAATATCCTAGACTATACTACCAGGCTGGGCTACAGACTGAGAAGACGTTCAGTTAACACACAGCAGATACTCGCACCTCACCGGGGCAATGGGAAGCCACACCGCAATAACCTGGCAAGTACCGTTGTCCATCAAAAACACGAAAGTGAGAAGCATGCAGTGGTTGATCTACTACTACGCACTTCCAGTCAACCAATGGATCAGGAGACGCCGATCCCTAGCAGCCCGGACCGACTTCGATGAGATCTGCGCACTCTGCGATGAGGGCACTCCAGAAGACCTCCCACACTGCTTACTAACCTGCCCGCCGGCAGCACAACTAAGAGCTAGATCGGCAAACGTTTGGGAAGCAGCCACATCTGCCCCCCTGCCAGATGACCCGGTGCTCACGCTTACAGGACTTAAAGAACCGCGTTTGCAGGAAAGGTGGCAACGTACACTCTACCAAAGACTCCGCCGCCTCACACTATGGGCAATTTGGAAGAAGCGCTGCAATCATCGCCAAACAGCCCGTATCACTGGCCGAAGCTTGGGAGGGCCTCATATAAACCCTCCTCGCAGAGTACCATTCCGATTGGCGCCGCACAAGGAAGCGTATTAGGGAAGACCCAGCCAAACAACAAGACATCATGGACAAGTTCAAAAAGGAGGTGCAGGGCAATGGCAAGTTGGGGACCATAACGGGCAACACACTCAGACTCGCCTGGGGAACCTTGACGGGCCAACAGCTCCAAGACGACCATATGTCAATTGTCTCTCAGACACTCACAGATGCAAGACAGGCCCTTGCCAGCGCTTGAGACACCTACGGAATCATGGGGCTCAAGAAGTGAGAGGTAATAAGGAAAGACACTCATGGCCCCCCAAACGCTTTACCCTGCTGTTGCTAAATAAGCCAAGCTGACAGCCTTACAGCTGAGAGGGGCAGGCACGAGCCGGACCCCAGGATTTTAGGGGTTAAGAAATGTTTTCTGGTAGGATACATCGGGATAGAGGAGCAGGCATGAGCAGGACCCCAGGGGTTTAGGGTTTAAGAAATGGTTTCTGGTAGGATACATCGGGATAGAGGATGAGTAGAAAGTCTGGAACAGACAGGATTGTGCCGCGAGCGGAGGCTCGTAAGCGAAACTGGGTAAGGCTCCCAGCATAACCCCGGGTTGAATTGTGAGGTCCCCGGCCTCGATCCATCTTTGGAATGCAATTTTCCTTAAAAAAAGAAAAAGGAAAAAAAAAAAAAAAAAAGATAGGTAGAGGGGATACAAAGAGTACAGTATGAAGCAAAAGGGGCTAGGTTAGCCGACAGGGACAGTTAGGCTGCTGTTCCAGATTTTCTTTCTCAGGGGTTGGCGGACTGTGCAGCAGGGTTGGAGTAGATCAGACAGCATCACAGCTGACAACCCAAGCTAAGCAAAACTGGGTAAGCTCCCAGCAAATAGTTGTGCCTTTCTGTATAGGGGACGCTGGACCCGGTTTCCAGCAGGTAAAGCTCCCCACCAATGACCCAATCGGCTTTCGTACCGCCACGGGACCGCAGATCTTCATCAGATGTTTTGTTCAAAAAAAAAAGAAAAAAAAGAAACAGGATGATCTGCCACATGGGCTGGGTGGACCATCCTGATGCTCTAAGAATAGCAGGATGGTCTGCCTCATGGACAAGTTTCCCCCCAACCATAATGGGGGGAAGCGTTTCGTGTGGGTTGTATCGAGCATTCATGACTTGCCGGTGGAATAGGAACCGGACTGATGCTCACCAGAATACAAAGGGGGCCGAAACCATGAGGTTTCGTTTCTTTTTTTCTTTTTTTTGAGGGGGGGGAGCAGGATGGTCTGCCTCAGGCAAATGGAGAAACAGTCTGAAAAAGATGGATAACTATGTGAAGCCATGAATATTCAAGCAGCCATAACTCTTAACCATAAAGAAAAGAGGGAAGCAAAGTCAGCTCGAAGTGCTTGGACATGAACACAGTTCAACTCACATATCAGCGAAGCAAAAGCAAAGAAGGCGAAACCAACTCACAAACATGAGGCCCTTCCCTCACTTTGGTTTGAAACTCACCTCAACAACCCCACGGCGAGGAGCATATATGGCCAGACATAAGCATGTCACATCATTTCGTGGCTGGTTGGTTGGGTGTTTCGATTCACTGCTCCCAAGACCACCTCCTCTTTCTCTGACACCAGGTCCGCTTTCCTCTGAGGAATCACCCAACTGCCTGCTCACTGGAACAATGAGGAATGAGCAGTGCGCATCTCTGTACCCCTGACACAAAGCGAGAAAACCAATTCCATTGTTAGTCATCAACAAAGTGACAAAGTGACAAATTGACGAAGTCTTGGTTGAGCGTTGCACGTTACATTCTTGGGTTTGATCATACCGGGTGCTAAGCTCCGATGAAACCTCTGACTGCCGGCCCAACCACCCACCAGACCAAAGGAGGAATGATACCAGTCCAAAGAGGTAGTAAGTTGAGTGCATCCCTGAGAGGATGGATGAATCAGAGGACAGGGACAGAATCGTGCATCACAGGCATGCACACACTTGCAATATCAGGAAAGAATGGTCATCAACTAACTATAACAGTGCAGAGAGAGAACACCAATGGAGGATGACTCTTAGCTAATCATACATGGCGAAACATGAGAAGAAAAGGGGGAGGAGGTTTCTCCTGAGATCAGATTGCGAAGGTCGGTGAGGCAAGGCGACCCTTTGGCCCCCTTTCTTTTTCTAATTATCATGGAGGCTCTAGGGGCTAACCTTAGAAAAATCAAAATCTCAAGGGGGTAAAGATATCAGGGATACCTAAGGATGCCATTCCTATAGCCTCCATGTTTGCAGATGATCTAATAGTCATGATGGAAGCATCCGAATCTAACATGTTAGAAATTAAAGCTTTGTTGGACCGTTTTTCACAAGTATCGGATATGGTGGTTAATTGGGGCAACAAAACACAAGGCTGGTGGATTCACTCCGGTGGGGTGCATCCCCCGGAACAACCTAGGGTGAATTGAGTCCCCCTGAATCTTGGGGGTGTCCCTTACAGCCCAAGGGAAACCGGTTTCAAGTGATGTATGGATATCTACGCCGGCTCTTAATGTTGCAATCGAAGAACAAGCAGACTTCAATTTTTGGAACGCCCTTGGTCAATAATAATGTAATCTTAGCATCCCTGTTACCTAAGAAACCCTTTCCTACCCGTTATGAGGAGGTTCTTCGGCAGCCACTCTTTGGTATTCGTTGGATCACTGATGAGAATGGATGCATTTTTAACTGCTCTTTTCCGCCCTGGTCTCTATGAGTTCGAAGGGCGGTGGTGAGAATTAAGGATCTGTGGGACACAACAAGGAATGACTGGAAGACTCCTGAACAGATGAGAGGGATTCTTCGATATGTGAAATCAGACTTGACTTATTCACACTTGTCATGCATGTGAACAGCAGAACAGCGAACTGGCGACATGCGCCCACACTGTACTCAGAGATATCGTAACCAGATAAGAGTTCTCTTGTAATTGGCTATGGCGGCTGTGCCCCCAAACACCTCGCTGCTCACACTCTGGATCACCCTGGATGTCCCACGCACATCACTCTGTACACACACTCAGTACACACACTCTGCCCTCTACACTAAGCTATGGCAGCTATGGCTGCCGCTACCTATCGCTATGGCTACAGTACGTCACTCTCGCCCACTTCGTCTTCGGGCCTTCTGCAGACCTCCT